AAGTAAGAGGGCAACTGTTGCCAACAAATCGTATTTGCCAAAACTGAATTCAGTGTGGCTAGATCCCAGTCAAGTGACATAATAACATGTGAGAAAGAAAAAAAAATTGGACGGGCCTCAATGCAAAATCTTACGAATATAACATCGACTGAGGCATAATCAAGCCTATGTAGGCCGGGGCGAACCCCCCATTTCGAAAAAAAAAAAATCAAGCCTATGTGGACTGAGATTTAACAAGACCGATCTTCTTTTCCCCAACCCAGAGGCAGGAATAAGAAGCGGCGAAACTGCCTCGTTTTATTAAATAAACCAGAGATAGTTCTCCAATTATTCAGAGGAAAGACATGTACGACCTGGCTGCGAACACAGGCTGAGAACCAGTGAGAGCCTGAGAAGATCCATTTGATGAGACTACCCATGGCGTCGGCATCAACATTGAGATATTTCTGACGCCAGTCATGGTTACGTTAACTGAAGATCCCCGAAGTGCACATGCGCGTGCCTGGAGACTGCAGCTCGTGCCAATTTGAGCAGATGGGATCGGCGACCCAGCCGATCTGCCCCCAATCCGAGCGAACAGTTTTGAGAGGCTAACAAACTTCCAGAATGGATAATGCCGATATCCGAAAAGACCAAGCCTGGCCACGAATGCCCGCTCTCCCGGATATCCTCTCCATCTTTTCTTATCCTCACGTAACACGCCGAAAATAAATCACAACAAGATATACGTACCTTCTAAGTTTTCACAGCAGAGAGCATGTGAAAAATATTGTCAGAAAAATCTCTTTGACCAGCTATGATCAGGAACGTACACAACTCAAAGAAAATTCACAGGACACGAATCCTATTTTTTGCCATCATTCCGTGAACACCATATCTAGGTGCTGTAATTTAGCTATACCATAGTACTAGCTAGCTTCTATTTTTGCACCCCGCAAAAAAAAGAAGCTTATATTTTGCAGCGTAATATTCAGAATACAGACTGACGTTCAGTAACAGAAAGGAGAATTCAGACTGACATACTGACTTCAGAGGGCGCTGTTTCACCGTAAACTGCATAAGGGCACCGGATAATTCCTTTCAGCTAGCTAGCTTCCAAGCAGCCGAAAATGACGCGCGTGCTTCAGATATCCCGGATCCCAGGGTCTTCTCCGTCTAGTGATCTTTTTCAGCTTCGTTGGACCCAGAGCTGGCCATTTTCATCCAGCCCTCTCTCTAGCTTGGCAATGGCCGCGAGGGCGTGTCCTGCTGCTTCTGGTTACCGTGTGTGCTGAAGCATCTGACGCGCTTGCGCCGAGCAGCAGGAGCTAGCCGTTCATGCTCTTCTTCCCTCCCCTTGGCATCTGAAGCAGTAAGAGCTCAAGTTCACAGAGGGCGTTCGTCCGATCTACAAAGCCCAGGTCTGGTGTTTTATGATGGTTCGCCTTTGTGCCAGCTTAAGTTTCAAGTCGTTCTCCATCTTTGCCGTCTTATGCATGCAGACATGCAGAGCTTAGTGTCGCCTGCGACTGTAATTAGTACTGCTTCTTTCTCTTCTGCCCTGGATGAAACCGAAGCAGATTCTCTTCTCCTCGTTATCGTTTTGGCTTTTGGCTAGTAGACCATCGATGATCGATGATCGATCGTTGTAGTTCTGCTCTTTGTTTTGATCCATCACTTCTCCTGCCTTCATGTTTTGCCTGCATGCAGGTTTATTACTCTGATAGTAAGATCTTAACGCCGCCGATCATGCTGAACACACCACCTGTGATGAGTGTGTGACCTATTTTAATTTGAACTAGTCCATTTTGTGAGAAATTGTTCACATGCAGAAATATGCATGTGCACGATAAGCAAGAGATAAGTAGGCCCCCTTGTTTGCACTTCGCCGCCTATATATGGCTAGTCTCGATTCCTCATCTCTCTTGATCCGCCACATCCTGGATCTAGATAGTACCAAACTTTGTAAATTATAATGAAGATTATCCACACCTCGTCCTCTCTACTGCATATACCCTCGATCTGATGGTTCTCGCCATTCTTTGACATGTTGATCGATCTCTTTGCAAGCGTCGCATCATCTAAGCTTTGCAAGTATATATTTTGAACTAGGTAGCCGTTGTTACTTACGGGATGGTGCACAGATCATTCATTTCTAACACGTAATGAACCATCTTGATTTTCTCCATGCAGCTGTACATCGCCTTAGCTAGCTTGCAGATCGCAAGCTAGATAGTAATGGAGAACCACCAGCTGCCCTACACCACCCAGCCGCCGGCAACGGGCGCGGCCGGAGGAGCCCCGGTGCCTGGCGTGCCTGGGCCACCGCCGGTGCCACACCACCACCTGCTCCAGCAGCAGCAGGCCCAGCTGCAGGCGTTCTGGGCGTACCAGCGGCAGGAGGCGGAGCGCGCATCGGCGTCCGACTTCAAGAACCACCAGCTGCCGCTGGCTCGGATCAAGAAGATCATGAAGGCCGACGAAGACGTGCGCATGATCTCCGCGGAGGCGCCCGTGCTCTTCGCCAAGGCCTGCGAGCTCTTCATCCTCGAGCTCACCATCCGCTCCTGGCTGCACGCCGAGGAGAACAAGCGCCGCACACTGCAGCGCAACGACGTCGCCGCTGCCATCGCGCGCACCGACGTCTTCGACTTCCTCGTCGACATTGTGCCCCGCGAGGAGGCCAAGGAGGAGCCCGGCAGCGCAGCCCTCGGGTTTGCCGCCGGAGGGGTTGGTGCGGCCGGTGGGGGCCCAGCCGCCGGGCTGCCGTACTACTATCCGCCGATGGGGCAGCCGGCGGCACCTATGATGCCGGCCTGGCATGTTCCGGCGTGGGAACCGGCGTGGCAGCAAGGCGGGGCGGACGTGGACCAGGGTGCCGGGAGCTTCGGCGAGGAAGGGCAAGGGTTCACGGGCGGCCATGGTGGCTCAGCTGGCTTCCCTCCTGGACCTCTAAGCTCCGAGTGATCGATGCCAGAGCTGTATGCGCGCATTGGATACTCAATGCTGTTTACCACGGCGCGCAATGTAACTGTAATTGTGTAAGTATATGGCATGTCTTGCGTTAGTTAAGGACTAACAACAAGCAGTTATTTATCCATTTGAAAAAAAAACAAGCAGAAAACTACCATGAGTTTGAATCCAGACATGCAGGATATGCATCATCCGTATGCGGCCAAATTTCATGTTTTGACCTTTTTAGGTTGCTTGAGCAAGATCTAACCTTCGCCTACCGCTATGTGCCCTGGCGGTAGGGTTGAACAAGCTACCGCCGTGGCCACCGGCATTAGAGCGGCAGCCCCCGTCAACCCGCCGTTTGTGGGATCCAACAACCCTACCGCCAAGGCTTAAGACGGTAGCATGGCTAAAGCTACTGCCGACGGACACGGCGGTGAGGTATGGCGCGCCTTGTCTTCGTCAATCCATTCTGTGACAGAAACGCACAGATTTGTGTGGTAGGTTCACACATCCTACCGCCACACCCGACAGCGGTCGGGTGTGCCTGGCGCAGCTTGCGTTCTGTGACTGAAAAGGGAAAGTTCTGTGCGGTAGGATTTCAAATCCTACCGCCAGGGTGCCTGGCGGTAAGCTGTGAAATACTACCGCCGTGGTACCTGGCGGTAGGGTCCCCACCCACTTTTTTAAACAAGAACTTGACTATTTCAATTACAACTATGAAAATAGTGTTTGCATATGACAGATAAACACACTGCAACAAAATAGTGTCTGCATATGAAAATATGATGACCTCACACAATATATATAGCAAATTACATCCAATAAGTTTAAATATCAAATAGTTTCAACATAGTAAAATAGGTAGCAATAACACAAAACCGAGTACACTAGTAGATAAAGGGGCTTTTGTCCCGGTTGGTAAGGCCCTTTAGGGCATCTCCAACCGTTGGCCCCCCAGGAGGGGCAAAAAATCGCCCCCTGGGGGCGCACCGGCGCTAAACCGCGCACTGGGGGCGTGTTGTCCCCCAGTCTCGGCGCCCACGGGTAGTCAAAAAGTCCAAAACGACTCAATTTTAACACAAACAGCGGCGAGTTCAAACTTAAACTTAAACATATTTCGTCCAAACTTAAACATATTTTACAAAAAAGAAAGAAACTACCGCGGGCTACCCCCGCCGTCTCCCTCGCCGCCCGCCTCGTCGCACGCCCACGCGGTTCTACATGCCGAGGAGGCTGTAGAACCGCGTGTAGTCACCGCCGTCGCCGTCGTCGTCGTCGCCGCCGTCGCCGTCGTCGTCGTCGCCGCCCCCACCTACGCCTCCGCCGTCCCTGCTGCATCCCTCCCCCGGTTGGCGCGGCGGGTTGGATGGTCCGGGGGCGGCGTCGTCGTTGTCATCGTCGCTGTCGAGGACCACGACGCCGTGCTCGTCCTCGCGCCCACGCTTGCAGGCGGCGATCTCCTCCAGGGCCCGGCACTGCCGGACCGTCTCGTCGCGGAGGTAGTCCTCCCGCGCCCACCGCATGGCGTCCTCGTCGGAGAAGCCGCGCCGGGCTATCTCCTCGTACTCCGAGGGAGGCCCGGCTCCGGCTTGGGCTCGACGAGGACGAAGCGGCCAGTGGGTGGTGGGGCGTTGGCGCCGATGCGAACGCGGAACTGCGGGTGCGTGCACTGACCGGCGTACCCTGGGGCTCCGGCTTGACGGGGTGGAGGCAGGGCGAGCCGCCGGACGAGGAGGAGGACCCCCCGGTCTCCATGCGCCTCGGGGTCCAAGAGCTTCCCCAGCGGCGTGAGAACTAAGGGGGATCGGGGTACTCGAGGCGCGGCGTGTTGCCGCCCTCGATGTACTCGAGGACAGCCTCCAACGTGCGCCCGGGCACGCCCCACCACCGACGCCGGCCGGCGGCGTTGAGCCTGCCGGAGGGCACGATGCCGTTGGTGGCCTCGAGCTGCTGGGCGTGACGGCGGCGGAAGTACGGTTCCCAGAGCGGGCTGTCGGGGACGTACCTTGGCCCCTCCCTCGCCGCACGCGGCAGGTTCGAGCGGATGCGTGCGATCTCCACACGCCGCGCCGCGCCGGTGGGTACCGGGGGCACCGGCACGCCGCCCGCGCTGATCCTCCACGCCCCCGGCACCCGCATGTCCGGCGGGACCGGGTACTCGGCCTCGTAAAGGAGGCGAGCCTCGTCTTCATGAAGATGGCGGCGGCCGAAGCCGTTCGCCGCCGCGCCGTCGCCTGGGAAGCGCTCGGCCATGGGCGTGAACTGGAGACGGCGAAAGAAAGGAGAGGAGAGGGAGGAACGACGACGGCGGGAGAGTGTGCGAGCCGACGAGTGCGTCGGGCGCGGCATATATAGGCCGAGGCGCCGCCCACGCGCGTGCCACCGTGTGTACGCGTGGTGGGCGAGGGAGGGCGAGGGACGCGCGTCGTCCGGTCTTCACTGCGCCGCCCGTGAGGCATCAATGGCGCAGGCTGACCGGCGCGGCAGCGCGCGGCAGCTTTGGCATTGATTTGCCGCGGGAAACGAGGCGATGCGGACGACGAAGAGTCAAGAGAGCCGTGTCGCTGACGCGGCGGGCCCGTGGCTTTTTCGCGCCAAAACAGTTCGCCCGGCGCCCCCGGGCGCCCCCAGCGCGCCAGTTTCAAAATATAATGTGTATTATATTTTTTAAGTCAAACTTCATAATTTTTACCAAATATATATAGAAATTTAACAACATCTTGAATACCAAAGCAAATAACATTTGATTCATTATATAATATGTTTTAGTATGATATGTATTTTGTATTGTATATGTACATATACTCATTCTGTTTCAAAATACTTGGCATGGTTTTAGTTCAAATTTGACTTGTCGTGGTTCTAGTTCAGCATTGAACTAAAAACATGACAAATATTTTGGAATGGAGGGAGTATAATTTTATTTGTAAACTTGGTCAAAGTTTGTAAACTCCCGCAAATTTTTTTGTAAAATTTGAGTTTTGCAAAGGCCAATATGCATTACATTGGGACGGAGTGAGTGTGGTATATAATTTATACTTTGTTCTCCCTTTGGCCTGTGGTATATATACTACATATAATTTATTATCTTTGAATACTTTATTATTACCACTAATCCTACATTATGTCTAAATAGTTTATTTCCACTAACTCAATTCTATTAACATGCGACTATGCCAACTCACAATGCCATCATGCATGAAAGAAAGACTTGTCTTAGCATGCATCATGCATTGCACTAATATTCAAAGATGAGAAATTATATGTACTTTAGTTTCAGTTTTCATATAATTGTTAATCCAAATACTAAAGTTTCATACTGTCAAATCTCATAGAAATAATTGCATCGAATTCTTGCAGCAAACCAAGGGGTATCATCTCTACTACATATAAAAGTATACAGATCAAGCATACAAGACAAAGATTCCTGGCTCCAATGGTGTTACTGAGGTCCCACTGTAGCATCGAGCTTCGCCCACAGGGTGCCGTCGGGGAGTGTAAGAGGAAGACAACTCATATTTTCCCAAGGACTGATGTGTAATTCTTAATTTCTATAAGGACATCTTTTCAAGGGTTGATTTACTTTAATATATGACCTTTGGCATTTTCACAAATAAAAACATACAAAAATAACATTACTGTATTTTTATTACAATGCCATCTTTATGTATAGTACTCCAAGTCATTATTTTTATTATTTCTAAATGTATCACAAGTAAAAGTTATAGTCAAAGTTATGCCTTGCAAATTGTTTAAAGTAAAACATGTCTTATATTTCTGGATGGAGACAATAGAAAATTTTATGTCTTTGGGATGCTTAATCACTTTCATTTTCATGTATTTTTGCTCCTCTGCCACCTAGAACGGGAATAAAAAACAATTATCTTGCAAACAAAATATGCTTTGTTAGAGTTATGAAAGGGCATTTCCCTCTCTAAGTGATTTTGGTGTTGTTGACAATGCATTTTACGGACTAACCGTGTGCTTAAGTTACACGTGCATATTCGAAAGTGGCACGAGATGGTTAAGTTCCCCCTGGGAAAGAAAAAGAAAGAGGACGGTGTTTTTGGCGGTTTTACTTTCTTTGAGTCGTAGGAAAATCGTACTATTAAGAGGGGATCCATGTTGGAAGGTATGGGTGAAATCAAATCATGTACACAAAATATTATTTGCACCCATGCTACCTTACCACTTTTTCTAGGAAGATTCAAATTCAGCCTATGTTTGGTTTACTAGGTAGTACCATAGTGGTAGGCGGTTGTACTATTAAGAGTACTTCTGCTGTCTGCTCCAGGCGGGTAGTATCATGTACTAGGCCGGTAGCACCTCTCCCCTACTAGATCGACACTAGCGGAGCAAGTGTCGGACCTACTATTGTAGAGACGTCATTCTGTTTTGGTAGCGGCAATGCCACAGAAGTACCGGCTATTGTATTTTAGCTGGTACTACCGGTGTCCAAAGCGGTAGTACTGCTTGGACATGTCTACTGCAGCTCTGCAGAGGGGTTATTCCTCTCTGTTTTGCACACGGTGCTAGGGCGACACTACTACGGCACTACCGTCTATTTATTTTAGCCAGTACTACCAGGATCCTAAGTGGTACTACTAGTTAAACCTTCATAGTGTTGTCTGAAGGTACCAGCGGTAGTACCTTCTTCGGAGCGGTAGTACCGTTTAGTGCAAAAAACTATATAACAATTGGATTTGGAGAAGACTATAAAAATACGATCGTCTTTCCCAAGTCGACCCACCTCTTTGCGCTCTCTCTCTCTCTCTCTCTCTCCTTGTTTGTTACCCAAAGCTCTTTATATATCTTGCTCGATTTCCCTCCCTAGCAACTCAAACTTGTTGATCTTCTAGGATTTGAAGGAGACGACCTAAATCTACACGTCCACCAAAGGGCGTGAGGAGAATAAGGTGAGCTATTATGGTGCTCGGTGAGCATCGTTCCACTTTACCTTTCCAATGGGGATGTACGTCCCCCAAAGGAGGGAACTTCGTGAACTACAT